TGTGGATGTGATGGCAGAGGAAAGCAAAACCAGAAACTTAATATGACTCCTGCCACAGGCATCTTGGATAAAGCATTCTTGGCTGCTAGACAAGTGCCGGCCTTGGTCCTGCAAAAGCCAATTAGTTTAGTACACACAAATAGTCTCACCATGGAATAAAGCATGCAGAAGTTTATTGGGAAGTTTATTCCCTGGGAAGGGAAGTGGAAGTGAAGCAAGCTGGAGGAATGACTAAGAAGTAAAGGGGAGTTAAGCACAGAGTAGCAGAAGCTGAGCCACTTGGCTGACCCATCAGGTGAGTGGGTTGCAGATAAAATAACAGGAAGAGCCAACTGATGGCACACACAGGGAAGATGACCACCAGGAAAACTGAACTCTGGAATGATACTTTTAATACCACTAAACAGGGTGACAAAGCAGAAGAGGACATAATGTGATGAATGCAGTTACTCACATCTGACTCAGGGCTGAATAGGTGTTGTTACTTAGTACTTTTTTAATCATCTTGTTTTGGTTATTTTACAAGTAACAGAGGCCAAAGGAAACATGTCATGAAGCCCTTGGGAAGACAGACGTTGAGAGTCTGCAAATGAGTGAACACAAAGAATGTGTAAACCTACACATCTCAGGAAATAATAGCTGCACAATCCCCTTGGGTGAGAGAGGAATGGTTGCCAATATGAATCAATGGATATGCACCACAGACGACTTAATCAGATGACAGAGGTGACTGTTCCACTCTGCTCTGCACTTGTATGGCCACACCTTAAGTCCTGTATGTAGTTTTAGGCACCATAATAAAAAAGAGGTATAAATCTGTTAGAAAGTGTCCAAAGGAGGGCCATGAGGATGGTGAAGGGCCTTGAGGCAGAGCAGTATGAGGAGCAGCTGAGGTCACGTGGCCTGTTTGGCCTGGAAAAAGGAGACTGAGGAGACACCTCATAGAGGTCTTCAGCTTCCTCACAGAGGGGAAGCAGAGGGGCAGGCACTAATTTCTTCACTCTCATGACCAGGTTCAGGACTCCAGAAAAGGTCATGAAGCTGAATCAGGGGAGGTTTAGGTTAGGTATCAGAAAAAGATTCTTCATCCAGACGGTGGTCAGGGCAGGAACAGGCTCCCCAGGGAAGTGGCCACAACACCAGCCTGACAGAGTTCAAGAACTGTCTGGGCAACACTCTCAGGCACATGGTGTGATTCTTGTGGCTGTCCTGTGAAGGGCCAGGAGCTGGACTTTGATAGTCCTCGTGGGTCCCTTCCAGCTCCGGATATTCTACAGTTCTATGACTTTAAGTCTCACTGCAACAGGCCAAGAGACCATGGAAGAGCAAATTAAGAGAAGACAGAAGAATCCTACCAACTTACCTCTGGGAATTGGGGGTAGCTTAGTTTTAATACAGTTTCCTGAGCTCTTCAATTTGTGCCTCAGACAGTACCCAGACATATCCCTGTGTCTCCTGCTCTGAGTAGCTGCTCTTTCTAACCTAATGCCTGCATAATGGAAACTCCATGAACTTGGATGCAAACTGCAATCTTCCTTAAGAAGAGGAGGTTCATCATCTTGGTGGACCCCCAATAGGCAGATCTGGGACCAGGCAAAAAGCCCCTATCAGCCTGGTCTGTGATATGGTGTTCCCAGTCTGGTGGGTAGTTGCTGGTCCCCAAGTGCACAGTTCAGCCTTTAGCTCAGCACAGCAAGTCCTGGGACAGGAATGGGTGTGTCACCTTTTGGGGAGCCTCCTAAGATGTGTAGTTCTGCTAAGTGCCCACCCCTGGGGCCCCTAACAGAAAATTAACTTCTCAGACACCTGCCTGTGGTCCCGGGACAAAAAAAAAAAGACTACTTGCATGCAAAGATTTTACAAATTTGGTCATCGTGACCAAACTTTATTACCCATTTTATGGAACTGTGACAAAGTCTAGGAATCAAGCAACATGGGGATCACAGAGGCTATTATGTTTATTGTGCTGAACAGACTGTGATAAACCATTAAAGGAACATTTTCAACAAGCAAGCGATTTGAAGTACAATCATAGACAGCAACTCTACATGAAGAACAAAGCAAAAAGTTAGAAGACACTCAAAAGGAAAAGTAAACTGTAGTTCAACATCTTGAAGCAATTTTTTTTTCCTGCAAACACACCTCTCTTGCAGAAATGGTAGAAGAGTTACATGTCCAGTCATAGTTAGCAGTGACCAATGACAGCAAAGAACAGTCGTATAAAATTTATCTCCCACAAAAATAAACTATATATATAAAAAAATTTTATGATGTTCTCACTGACTCAATGGCCACATGCAATTTTTCCGTCTGAAAAAATGAGGTATAGTAGGCCCTAAGAGGTAGTAATGTGTTTTGATTGTACTACAATATATAGAAAACGTAAGATTCAGTTCATCAGAGTGGTAAGTCTCTCAGAGGTTGAAGAGTGACACACAGAGCAATTATTTCTGTGTCATCCACTGAATACCATGGCTTTAAAAAATGCAACAAAACCCCTCAAAACCCCAAAAGGGACTTGCTAAGGCTTGATTTGATGCCCTTTGAAGTCAGCAAAATTCCCATTACTGCCTTCAAGTGACACTGGATTTGGCCTGTTAGAGCTACTTATAGCTAGGATTATTTTTCTTTCACCTGATATTATCATGTCTAGATAAAATATTCCATCAGCTCTTTCCCAGCAATTCCCACCACCGAACCCTGCGCAGCCTTTCGCAGAGGCCCGTATTTCTTGACACTGCCTCTTGGAAGAAGCCAGTAAGTCGTTATCCTTAACGTTATCCCGCACTTGGCTCCATGCTAAAGTCATTATCCTTAACTGCACTTGGCTCCACGCTAAAGCCACACCAAGAGACGCCTTCCTGAGAAACTACCCCTGGCCCAGTTATTAATACAATGGTACAAAGTACTGACTAGGAAAGAGAGGAAGAAGGGAAATAAAACAGAAATAGAGAAAATTAAATTGGAGGTGGGGGGGAGAGAGAGAGAAAGAACGACAAAAGTGAGAGACGGGAGAATAAAAAACCTCTACATAAGAAGCATTTAAAATAAATCTGGCTGAAACATATTACAAAATCACATTTGTGTAAAATACACGAAAATACTTGTCAAGTATTTTCTTACAATCTACTAATTTTTTTTTTTTAAACACATATTTGTGATTGCATTATGCAAAAGCTGAGCTTGTTGCTTCCCACCTACAAAGCTTCAAGTTTCTTTGAAGGTTTTTTTTGTTCATTTTTTATTTTTAATATGAAAGTAATTTAAAATGTGTTCACTTTCCACAAGTTATTTTACAAAAATAATTTTGAATTAGGGATTAGTTGCAGTCCTAACTGTTTCAAACGTCTTAAAACTGATGCTGAAAGAAACAAGTTCATTCCATTTAAAGTCTGGAGGTAGGTCTTTGTCAATCAATTAGTCCATTTCTTTAAACAATTCATTTGAGGTACAAACTTGGACAGTAATATTTAAACTTTACAGCTAAATTTTTTCTGTCATGTAGTGTCCTTGAAGAAAATTATCCTCACCTATCAGCAATTCAATACAAAAATATATTCAAGTTAACAGTACATTACACAGAAGTCTAGCAGAGAATAGAGTAAGTACATAAAATAAAACAAAACCAAAACCAAAAACCCACACACAAAAAAAAAAAAAAAGAAAAAAAAATCAAACAAACCAAGTGAAAGAAAAACACATAGTCATGCTGAAACACAAAAAAGACATTGCTTCCTTAACTGCAAACAAGGTTGAAATAGAAATAAGGGGAAAATGCAGATACTCATGATTATCTACCCAGTAAAAATTTCCTGCATTGAATGTGTATAGCAGCATGTATTTATCAGTCTGTTGAGTTACTTGCAAAAATCAGAGGTAGTATTGAATAGTGGGGTAATATTGCATCTGGTGCTGAAAGTGCTGCTTTGAATGAAAAGATGGAGAAATGCCACTGGCACAGAGGTGCTCAGTGAACCATCCTATGTCAGAATACATTGCCTAACGTAACACACGAGCTTAGCTGAGGTACATGGTGTTCATTCTTACATTGTGACTGATGAGTAATGAGGAAAGATTCAATTCTTTCAAAATACTGGTACAGGGCAAGTGGAATTAGTAGAAACTAAGCAAAAATCTGGATTATTTTTCTTCAGATAAATTTATGATTAATTTCTAGGTACCTTTCTGTATGTTTGAAAAGACTTTTATCAATAAAGACTTACTCATTAGTGGCATAAGAGTGGTGTCAGTCATTTTTGTTTCCATAGAAAACTCCTGGCTCTGAGAAGGCCAACTCCTTGGCTTCCTATTATCCAGATGGTAAGGTCTGTTCATTTGGTTTACTATTGCTTGTGCTGATATGTTTGTATCTATAACTATACAACGTATCTTTGTCTTTCTTCCCTTTTGCAAAATGAAAGTACCTTTCCATGTTGATTTCTTTCTTCTGATTACCAGCTGAATGAAATGAAAGATCAGCTGTCATTTTTTCCCCCAAAATAATAGTAAGTCTTAAAAAAAAAAAAAAAAAAAAATCAAGTACAAGTCTACAAGAAGGTTACAAAAGAAAAAGAATAGTATCTATCCCCTATCTTTGGTGTTCTAAAACAGGGAGTTTGCTAAGTAGGGAGTGGGTTGCTGGAAGTGTTGTGAGGCGTAAGTGTTACACACCCAGCCTTTCCTATTTCAATGCCCATTATAATGACTACATTACAAGTTTCTTGTTTATACGCAGTGCAGTGAATGACATAAACCTGATTTGGAGCTCTTCTTGACCCAGTCACCCTTACTTAGCAGATCAAACAAACTATTAGTAGGTTAGGAAAAAAGAAAACAGTAATTAAAAGTTGCATCGTTAATCTGTGTCCCCTTTGTGTTACAGCAGTTTTTCACTACACCTGGGACTGTGAAGGGATTACAAAGAAGATGATTAGTCAAATCCTTTTTAAGGTTATGTCATTTTTTTTTCCCCCAGGCAAAAGTGGAAAGACCATGGCAAGAGAAAGTAAGTGGTCAAGGCAGTGTCTTCTCCCTTCAAAAGACCCAACTGCTGATGAGGTAGAAATTGCATGGTGTGATCTCCTAGTCTTCTTCTGCAGATTCTTGTGAGGACGTTTCTTCAGTCTCTTCCTAGAAAACACAAATAGGAATGATAAATACCGTGGTGACCATGTATCTTAGGCTGCCAGTTCAGATGTCCCTCACACAGCTGACAATTACCTCTTGAGCTAATAAAATACCCTTTACAGGTCCTGTGACGTCTCAAGAAGTCACCTTGGGGAGGAAGAGAAGGTATCCTGCTCTCTGACCCCCCCACCTTGCCTTGCCAGTTTTTTCTTCTACTCCAAGAGACGTCAAGAAAAAGCATTCTGTATAATGCTTTGTCACGGGCCTCTTATGGCCAGCAGACATGGGCAGCAAGAAAATGGAAAGCATTTTGAGCACCTATCCAATCATAAGCAGCTGCTCTGGGAAGCTTTTTCCTCCTCATTGGCCCTAGTGCTGCTTCATGTTTGCCTTCAGCAAGCCTGACCAAATGTGATGTTCTTATTCTACTTTTTAAATGAATGTTCAGTACCTTTGAGGACATGGGTGGTGAACTGGGGGCAACCAACATTTCTAATAAAAGGGGCTATCAATGAAAAGCTGTTTTTTATCAAACACTGAACATCATCGCCTAAGACAGCACGTGAAAGAGATCTAGGAAGAAGAGGAATTCACCCCCTCAGCCAACTGAGACCTTTGAAGAATGACCAGCTTAAAGCAGCTTATAACAGTCTTCATACTTTAATAGATTTGATTTTCCACATGGCTTCATTTTGTCTGGGTGGCTAACTGACACAATTTATAACTCTCTTCCTTTCCCAGGCCACTACAGTACACCATTCAGCAAAGCTTGCCTTAAAGCTTGCCTGCCTTATATGACCAAACTTCCATTCATTAGTGTTTGAAACACCTCAGCTGTGAAGGGCTCCTAAATGCTACCATGTGTGACACTGCTGCAGAGGAGCAGCATCAAGGAAAAACACAGTGCTTTAATCATAGGCCACTGCTTACTGCAATCCCTTTTCAAAAGGTTTCAACCCCCCCCTGCACCTCCCTGCAAGAAAAGGCCAAAAAAAAGCTGTAAATCCAGGGAATAAACATAACTATAAATGAATGGATGACAGCTTAAAAAATATAACCATAGCAGCATCAAGCCATGCGATTTCACACTGGTTTTGTTTAGTCTGCTTTGGGTTATGGGGGAAAAGCAAAAAGCATGAAGGAAATGCTCCCCCCCTCTTCCTTTATGCCCCCACCCCTGCTAAAGCTTGGGCCTCAGATATTTAGGCTGGCAGGTTTATACCTCTTGACAAGGAAACAGGCCATGACCCTGGGGTACTCTCTTGAGCACAAAGAAAGATGTAGCGTGATCAAAGCCGTGGATAGAGCAGAGAGAGCAAAATCAAGTGTCAGCTGCCCTCTGACCTTGAATTTTCAATTCTTAAATTCCAGATGACACTGATCTATCGTACAGATGAATAACTTTTTCCTCACAACAACTACTGTCCACTTGTAGCTAGGTTATATTCACAGCACTGCAACAAAAATTATTCTCAACTCATGAAATGATCAAGCAAATTTTACTCTGTCTCTGGCAGCACTGGGGAAACTGAGCTCACACTCCATCGAATCCCATTAATGCATAATGCATTTTTCCTGTGCAGAACAGGACATTGCTACAACATTTCAGTCAAGAAGAAAAATAGTATTTTCAGGCACCTACCGGAGGGCTAATTTAGGCTGCATGTGGAAAGACACAGCAAAATATTGAAAAGTTGGTTTGAGCCTTGGTAATTCACAACTCAGAATGATCACTGCAAACCCCAGCTTTGCCTCCAAGCCAAGTATTTCAGTTAAAAAATCAGAACAGTGGGTTCTGTGCTCTTAACATAATACAGGTAGACGTGTTTTGGTATTTGATGATGATCACATGTTTAATTTCTTACAGCACTGTGGTCAGCCTCTGATTATCATTTCCTGGAAGACGGCAGCACACGTGTGGGTGCGGAGCGGCAGCTTTCTTTGTTTTATGCTTGGCTTGTCAGCAGACTACTGAAACCTGATGAAATCATTTTTCCATGAAGGTAGACTTCCGATCACAAAGTAAGAAGGATGGGGGAGAGGCAAAGTATGTGAAAGGACATACTTCAAAGCTCTACCAGGGTGGCCACAAGAGAGCTCTTTTTAGTTAAAAAGTTGTCCACTCTAGTGATTTTTACTATAAATCTCACAGTATTTTTTTTCCTAGTAACCCTTGCTGCAGTGACCAAGAACTAAGAATCCTTTCCTTCATACACTTATATGTGTTCATGTAATGAAGGATGCTTCTCTCACCTGCACATAATGTGCAAATATGTGTACCTGTAGTACTGGGAAGGACAAGAAACTAAAAATCAAGCTAACTCTCCCAAATATGTAAATAATAAGCTAATTATTAAAAAAATATTTGAGATTGACAGACTTCAAAATCACATCAGTGTTGGGAAATACTTTTTTCATGAAGAAAAGCTTCTCAAAGGAATGAGATTGTTCATTCCTTGCAAAAGCCTATGATACCTCAGTTGCAGATGAGTGGTTTTAAGCCAACCTATCGTGTAAGCTTCTTGTCAAGACACTGATGGAGACATGACTGCTGATCTGAAGCGCTTACAATTCAAACAAAGGGATACTACAAATCAGACATATGTGCAGGGAGGGACCCAAAGGAAGAAGTGAGTAGAGGTTCTGAAAGACAAAATACAGATGTATAATGCAGGAACAGAGAGGGGTTTTTTGCACTTGTGAAAAACTGGTTGCAAATATCTGAAGCTGTGCGGCTGGGATCCTCAACCCAACCTCTGCCTCTACAGCACCTGCCACCCCTGCACAAACACTTTCCGAAAGATGGAGGGTGGGGCAGGCATTTTGAAAACTGTGTAACCTTTGGAAGTTGAAAACCGGCTCTGTGCTGAATGACTTCAGCCAGAGATTCACTGAAGTGCTGGCACTGTCAGGGCGCTGGACACCTCGGGGAAGGAGGCTTACCAGTAGTAAGCAGCCTCCAGGCACTTTCAAGTCCTCACAGACCTGCCAAGGTTGATGGCACAGCCATGTGTCACAGTCCCTGAGTCAAAAGTTGAAGGAAGAACTGGGGCTGGAATGAAATACTTTTTAAGTCCAGATGTGCTTCCAATAAATTTGAAGAGAAGGAAAGCATGATCCTTAGAGCAGACATTAGAAATCCAAGTCACTCAAAGTGTGATAGCCATGTAGAGCATAAATTCAGCAACACCATCACAGGATGCACTCAGCCAAGAAGCAAAAGTTTCGGGTTACATTACAGCTTTAACTGAGATTATTCTCACTTCTTAGGTGCATTCACTTTAATTGTGGGGGCAGAATGGTGACATGTGTTAATTGACTATAAATGTGCATCGACCCAGTTTTGCCTTGAACTGCTACTTCCCAGGTTATTTGTTTTCTGCTGCAGCACACTAGTGAGAGGTTGGGCCAGCAGACTGCAAAAAGAAACCTGAGAAAGCTTCAAACCAGGCTGGATTTGGCTAACAGGGAAGCCACAGCCATGACGAGCTCAGGGAGCATAGGACAAATACTTTAAGAACAGGGTGAGTACTCATATCCATGGCTCAGGCTTTACTCCTGCTGCTATGACAATATCCCAGGTGACTTCCCATGCATCCATGTGTACATCCCCACACATGTATCTGCAAGGGCTGGCTGGCACAGGGACCTGCTGCAGTTTCCCTTGCCACATGCTGCCCTTGGTCACCCATGGGTCCCACATATGGGTATGTTTGTCCTGAGCTGCTACAGGACGTAGCATGATGTTGTATGACAAATGACACCGAGCCAGTTCCACCCTTAGCTGCCGTAACTGCCCTGTCCAGCAGGGATAGGGAGCTGGTGTCTCTCCCAAAACAGAGCTGCAAGGTGGCTTTCTCCAAAGCTCATAAAGGAGCCCTTTCCTGAGGGGCATCACTGGCAAGGGGCTGGCAGATGTGGACACCAACCTGGACCCTCATCTCTCACTGAGGCTGGCCTCCCAGAGGAGAGAAAGGACAACTACTTTGCAATGACTCACAGCAGGTATCTGCCCTCAGAAGGGCTACTCTGCAGAGGATTGGTATCACTGTTGTTAGCCCTGATTTAACGCTGGTGAAGGTAACAAAAAAGGAACAGGAGGCAGGACAGCAGGTTTCAGTTAGAAGTACTGTCTTCAGCCAGTGTGTTTATTTGGGCTAGTCAACACAGAATTTTAAAATATGACAAACTTGGTGGGATCTGGTTGCCTGAAGACAGCACCCAAGGCTGTTTTAGATGAGCTGGATATTTCATCTGGTAAGATAAGCCAGAAAGGTGCTGGTCTCCTGTATCATGCCCTCCTTCTCTGTGTGGATCCCTATGATCCCCTGAGACACCCAATGGCACAGAACAACTGTGTCAAGATGTGTGGACCTATGAACCCTCTCCAGAACTATGAAATTGAACCTCTGCTTTGAAAGTCTCTGCACTGTGGAAAAACAAACTGGTGCCAGACTTTTCAGTGCTGCCCAGCAACAGGATGAAGAGAAATGGCCATAAACTAAACCACAATAAGTTTCATCTCAACATGAGAAAGAACTTCATCACACTGAGGGTGGCAGAGCACTGGAACACTGGCTGCCCAGGGAGGTCATGGGGTCTCCCTCTCTGGAGACTTTCAAACCCCACCTGGACATGTTCCTGTGTCACCTGCTCTAGGTTACCCTGACTTGGAAGGGGGGTTGGACTGGAGGATCTCCAGAGCTGTCTTCCAACACAAATGACTCTATAATTCTGTGATTCATTGCTAAACCTCAAAGGTGGTACCATCCAGAATGGAGCTGTGCCACAAACAACTGTATTTCAACGTCAGCGTCTTTTCAGATCAAAGTCACCCCCTGATACCAAGAGACTTCTTTCCCACAACATCCTGTGCAGGTGAAATGTAACTCTACCTGCTGCCAAAGACCTCCATTTGGTGATCCAATTTGGCTGGTGCAGGCAATTTTTTCTGAAATTACAAGCAGCCAGTAGCATCCTAGTGGCCTGAAGAACAGACATAC